AAATTTCACGTTGTGAATAATACAATTAAAATTATGGAACCTGGTTTCCTGATTTCCTGGTTAAAATTAATTTCTTTGATAATACCAAGTTAGTCGAAATAATTGGTTCCAAGCATCTTGTTATCGAAGTTATCGAGAAAATGTCACTGCTGTTGATTTTTATTACGTAATTGTGTATACTGATATATTTCCATCGTTTGACTATAATTATTACAAGTTTTTAAACAAATTTTATTTTTCTTGAGTTAAACTCATACAGAAGAATTTTTATTTCCATTTTTGTTTGTTTCTAACTTGAAACACAATTTAGAAAGTAATCTTCCCTGCCTAAACGATAATCTTCCAATTAATAACAACATGCATCACAGGTTCCAAGTTATCTATTACAATAAAAGATCCAAATTTCACATCAAACGTAAAAATTATTTGACTCGAAGTTCGTCAAATGCATTTACACTATTAAACTCGCCCTGTCACGTAGAAAAATGATTTAACAACTGATTCGTGACTCGTGCAGTTCCGCCGATAAAATTAATTCTACTGTACAATAAAAGCAATACTTTTTCTGTCAGGCCTTATCAGAGGTATTTCTGACGATTGGGAAAATATCGACCGCGTTGCTTAACGAGCTCAAAGCGATATTGACCCTTTGGTCCCTCCAGGATCGCCTCGAGTAGAAAGACAAGCTACCAATTTGATTAACACCGCAAACGTTAAAAGCTTGGTGATTTTCCACGGTAGAGGGCGACTCGTTTATTCATCGATTTCGATGTTAAATACATTAACGGCGAATTGAGAGGGTGATCGAGGGGTCGAACGATTTAAGTTCGGATAGTTGGTGCGAATTGATAGTATGTTCATATGGAAACGAAACGACGATCTCTCGTTGAACCACCGTGGCAGGTGTAGATTTACGATTCGATAAGACAACCCGTGAAGCCTAGATTTGCTCGATAATAGCGCCTGATATGATCTTTAGACGATCAATGCGGCTGCGTGGATGTAAAATGGCGAGGGTCGACGATGAGCGTGTTAACAAAAGCACAATGCACAATTGATTTCCGTTACACGGCTTGTCGCATTAGCTAGCTTAGGTAGGCGAAACAATTCTGTGTACATATATTATTAACAGTGTAATGTATGTCTCGAGAATCACGGCATGGATCATTGATCACAGTGCGTTTACTATTGAGAATTGACTTGTTAATCCGAGTTGAAACTGGAATAGCTCACGCCTAATTAGGGCCTATAAGTGTATACAAACAAATAAAATGTTGAGAATAAATATTGGATTTTCGTTTCTTTCTTTAATTGCACATCCTTGGGAGAGTAGACAGTATTGAAAACTATATAGGATCCTTGAAGATGTCAAGAAAAACAGAATTGACGGAATATTGGCAAAAATATTTCGTATTTTAGGGCCTCCAGATATACATACATGCATACTTTTATTTTTGAAAATATAACAATTTTTAGAAACTCATTTCTTATATTAGGTAAAGAGATAATTTTCAGAAAGTAATACTTTGTCTTGAATAGAAGTCATCATTTTGAGAAATTAATTTTTGGTATTAAAAATTTGTTACGATGTCTGGGTGGTTTTTTAAACAAATTTATGCTTCTTTATTATGCGAAGGTATACTACACGAAACCTATATGAAAAATAATTTTGGAAAATTTTTGATATTTTAAAGAAGCCCTTGTTAAATTTAATTTTACAAGTTATGATCAAATTTTCAGTAATTAATTTGGTTTGTTGTTTTACGTAGTTCTATATCTTCCTAAAATATATCTTCCTTTTTAATAATTAGTATAAAAATATAAAATTTTTAATTTATTTTAAATTAAGAAATTAGCACAGAAGAAAGCGAAAGAATAAAAAACGAAAAACAAAGGATATAAAAAAAATACACCATAAAAGAATAGAATAGAAATCACTTTAACGACGTATTTGTAAATATTTTTTATTACTTTTTGTGTTTTTTTAAATATCTTTCTTTTTTACGCCGTAAACAGAGTAAAAAAATATCTCTAAGGCGATTCAAAGCGAATTAATCAGTTATATAATTTCATATCTCTTTCTGGTTTGATTTATTTTCATCTTCCATTTTTTATACCTCAAATTATCTATTAATAATTATTTATGATGTTGTGTTAGACATTTGGAATTTTTATAAGTTTAACGATTCGTGCATCCCTCCCATATCCTACAGCAATACATTTTCTCTTTCTTTTTCCGCATTTATCAAAATTTAAACTAAAATTTTTAGACAAATTTAAAAAATTGTAGACAATTTATAATAAATAATTCTTGTCTATTATTATATGTCTGCCATTAATTTATGTTTCATACGAACTTTGGTTTAGTGGTGAGACTAATTATCCAACTGCATGTTCACAATTTATGGATATCTAGTGTTGTACACTACTATCGTAAGAGGGCAACAGAGTCTGGTAAGTAGAAACAGACGTGTTGTCTGAACTTGTCTCAGTCGGTATCGTGTCTTATTCTACTGATTTTACCATCAGGCCAGGTTACGTATCTCTGCTTCTCAATTAATGTACAGAATTAATAAATAATCTCGTTTGCATACACATTTAATGAAATACTAAAATTTTATAACAATCATCATTAGTTAGTATTGAATATTCTAAACACATTATTTTCATATACATATATATATTTATTAAAAAATTATACCAATTATAAGATCAGATTTTAGCAAATAATTAATTAAATTAGAAATACAATCATTTAAACATATTTTTAATTTATAATTATATAATAATAGTAATAATAATACAATGTGTGACCAACAATATTTTCTTTTGCAATTGCATTATTAAACGATATTAAAATATCATAAATAATGGAACCATGCATAGGCCCTATGACATGTCATACTGTTAGTTTTTCTACTAGATGCATGAAATTACGCATTTAGCTATATTATAGTGAAAGATTTTTGGAAAAGGTTACTTTACGATAACATTTTCGACGCTTCTAGTATCGTTTGCTATCAATTATACCCTCGTGATTCTCGTGACACACGTAAACATAGATTTATCTTTCGCTGAGTGAAAGAACGATTTCTAGGTGTAAATAAATACACTTTTGGTAATATTCCTTTAAACAGAAGATTACAGCCTCGATATCGCACTGAATTACTATAAACCATGTGATCACAAAATATTAATCTCGTGATAAATGTTTACAAGATAATTCAAATGTGTAGTAACATCTAAAAATTAATGAATAATGAATAAATTCTCATAAAAAAATAATTATCTCTTACTATTTAACGAAAATAAGACATTACAATTTTTTATATTACTATTATTAGCTATCATAACACTTATTAACATGACAAAGTTAGTTAAAAAAAATTTTTACTGTAAAGCTTTCCATTTAATTTCATCGATGTTCTTCATAAACCAGAAATAAATAATTTTTGGAATCATTTATGTAATGAAAATCATTACACAGGGTTACGTAAGGTACGATTAAATATTTAAACATTTATATATTTTAAATAATTGTATAATATAAAATACTGACTAAAATTTCATTACAGCAAGAAATTATTAATATTATAAATTTATTAATATTTCTTTTAGAATATTTCATACCAATACGATATTGAATAAATTTCTAACAAATCTATTGAAAAATAGTATACAAGGTTATATATTTTTTATATTTTTCTCAAGTCACGAGCATTAGAAAGTACCGAGACTTGTTAAGCATTAGAGCAGATGAAAAAATATTTGTTAAATTTTCTGTAATAAAAAATAATTACTATGTTGCAAAATTTATCATCTAGGATAGGCAGGAGCTCGAAAACTGCAGTAAGATGATTTCGTCAGACGTGGCGTGATTGTCAGGCCAGATTTTGAGCTAAACTCACGCGATGTAGTAGTCTTACCAATAATGTCATTTTTAAGTTCCTGATAAGATTTCTGCACTCAACTCCCGCTAGGTGGCAGTGTATGCGATTATCCCAAGAAACTTGCAATGTGTTAAAGGCATTTCTGTTATCACAGCAAATAACTAAATTAATTACAATCAGGAGGAAATACTTTTTTTCATGACAAAAAGATTCCAAAAATTGTATCCGAATATATTTGACATAACTACCACATGATAGATGTAGATGATCATTATTCAATTGAATCCGTTAGGTATTACGTATAAGATGCACTATTTTATTAAATATATATATATATTTTTTTTTATGTTTATCCATTGATATTGAAACTTTAAATGCAAAAGTTAAAACATTACCGTTTTGGAATTTGCGTTTCGCATGACTGAAAACATTAAATTTATCAAATTTCATAAATCAGATTTGTAAACAGTAGAAACGCACAAGGTTGAAGTACATTCTATAAATATATACACTATATAAAACATGATATAAAGAAATGTAAACAATCCAATTCATTAATTTATAATCTTCCACATAATTCAGTAAGAAATTCTCATTTGAATTATTTGTCATTAACCTCAATTATTACGTGGTTAACCGATCAGTTAAGCACGTTACAAACGTACATTCAAAGAATATAACTTCGTTATACACGTCCTTAAACCCATCTAACAATACTATCAATAAACTTTCATTATCCCTGTTAACTTCATCCTTGTCCAATGCCTCAATATTCCAACGAAATAACCTCAAAGTCCATATTACTCCATCTGGCTTAAACGACAGTTCGTGTCCCATAATACTTTATCATTTGACAATAGTGTTATCGTACGTACCCTAATCTAATACACCATTAGTTCTCGAGGAGCTAGAAAATCTGCGATTCAAACAGGAATCCAATTCTGGAAACCATTAAACTCGCACGATAGACTATCAATCGACACGCTCGTGCCGCTATCCGGCGTCAGATAAGAACCGGGTGTACGCGGCGCGACCGCTAGGTGGCGGCACGGTCGACCGTCGCGCGAAACGCGCATCACAGTACGAGCAGGCGCAGGTTGGTATACCAAACGCGCCTGCCTCTATTTCCGTAGAGGTCGAACGCGTGTGCCAGCGAGAGCAGTCCGACGTGTTCGAAGATTTCACTGCGGCTTAGACTTCAGCCGGACGGGGTCTGGCCTGCCTTGTCCCCGGCGTGTGACACTGTAAGTACCCGAATTATTGACTGAAATTGTTCGTGTTTTCGCGTGCTTTCGCCCGTGTCGCGTCGAGCGGTCGATCGCGAGGCGTTAAACAACGGTCAGCGTCTTTTCGCGGTTTTCGCGCAGTGACAATGAATTATCGACAATTCACGGCCGTCGCGAGATGTGACCGGGCGAAACTGGCCCAGAAACCTGAAATCCTTCTCTGTCGCGATCGCGCTGCAAGATCAAAACCGAGCTACTCTCTGCCCTCGCGTGCTCGCCGCGTTCGCGGTCTGCGCCAATGACGAAATTGACCCACCGAGTTATCGTGTCTCGGTTCGCTACTCTCAATTCAACGCCCGGAGTCGAATGCGCCGATTGGTCGCGCGCGGACCGAATTTCTTGACATTGTTACCGACACGCTCCTCGCACTTGCCTCGGCCGAATTCGAACTGGCGCAACCGTAATTACTGGCATATACTTGTCCGTGCAAATATAGATGTAGATCCTGGGAAAATCTCATCCGATTGTCGTTCAACGTACGACGGAATGGTTCTTCTTTCTTCTTCTTCTTTTTCTTTTTTTTTCTGTGTGTGTAAATTCTTTCAAGGTCACGTGAAAGTAAGAATGAAGCACCTTCAGGTAAAATTCTGGGTGTTAAGGTTATTTAGTCGGATGTCGGACCTTCGTACGGACGTAGGGAACGTTTATAAATGCTGGCCAAACGATCTACTTCAAATGACGTTTAGGACGTTTACGTAATCACCCAGTGAATCGCAATAGTCGATTGTCGAGGTCTCGATGCAGGTCGAAGATCACGATCTTTCGTGCGACTATAACAACGTTTTTTCACTTTTTGGAAACTATTTTTTTTTTTTTGTTTATTCTTTTATCTTTATTACACGTTGCTTTCATTACGAAGGATTTTAAATGGTATTAACAGTATGTGGGAGGAATTGACTGCATCGAGAAATGGATTGGTCTGATGTTTGGAAATTGATAATTGTTTTGAATAAATCGGTTGGAGTCGATTTCATCGAGGAAATGTGTTTTACAAATATACGTTATGGGGAAGACACGATGGTGGTGTGGAAATAAAATATAATTTGAGAAATATAGTGACTCTCGTGATTTGGCCTTTATTTCGATGAATGGAATTAAAGTAATTTATTAAGGAAATTTAGAGGTGAATGAGGACACTGCATTTTTCAGCCTGGTAAAATAATCTCCTATTACGTTAGTTCGTTTATTGTGTTCGCGTAATATATGTTATTTACATAACTTGTTCAGCGGCACAGTTTCCTTTTCTACAAGTTGCAGCTAAGTCTGTATTCGTCGGTTATCAGGTTGCTAAGATTTTGCAATTAATCTACACAGATGCGCAGTGTTCTGTGATTATGATAATTAATTTTCAACCCTGTTAGAAAATTATTTTTAATTTGTAAATGGTCAAATTTGTGTTTTTAAACGAATTCGACGTATTTTTAAATTTTAAATTACACGATTTACACTCCGACAAAATTTTTATATTTCATTGCATTGGAAAATTTAGAAATTTGTAATGGAGGTTGGAAAATTAATTATTATCGATATTTTACTCCTATTATGCAATTTAATTTTATCAATTATTTCTCTTTAGTTTTATATTTTCTTTTTATTCCAAAATATCATTTTTCAAGATCTTGTTTCATTTTTATCAAAGTTTCTTTACTTCAGCTTTCTTTTGAAAATTGTTAGAATTTTATTAGAAAGTAAAATTTTGTTGAAGAAAATTTTCATAACTTTTTATTTAATTATTGTCATTTGTATTTTATAATTCATTACCAGTTTTTTCTCTGTTATTTCTACAAGGTTGGTATTGTCATATTGGGTGTCGCATTTCGGCGTAGTATTTTATAATGAACGTTATAATTGTTCGTCAAACACAAGTGCCTTTTTTCAGCTAAAAATGTTACTGTTTTTGCAGCTCTCCAGAAATATCGATTTATGAATATTTATGAATTTACGTCTGTATGCATGTAAAGTAATTTGCAATGCATACCATTCGACGTGTACTCATATCCATTAAGTAAAATACTTATTTAAAAACTCAAATTTATAAAACATGAAAAAAAGTAATAGATTGCAAGAAAACTAAAATTAATATAGAAGCTGTTAAAAACATTAATATAAATAATAAGAAATTACAAACAAATTACATAAGATATTTAGTTAAAAAATATTTAAAAATTCACCAATAAAAATTATTAGGAAATTCATTAACAAGAATTACTACAATTGTTAAAAATTATTAAAAAATTCACCAGAAAAGACACAATTACCAATCGATAAAGAATATTACAAAATTCTCTAATAAAGATACTTTTCAGTCAATAAAAACTGCTTAAAATATCGCGGATAAAATTAATTATCGATTAACGAAGTCATTAAAAGATCGTCCGAGGAAAATAAAAATTACCACTCGATACGAATATTTGAAGAAATTCACCAACGAAGATATTCACCGAACGATAAAAAATACTAAAAAAGTTCGTTGACAGGAATAATTTTCAATTACTCGGATTATACGTCGCGCACGACGCAATAGATGAAGAAGTATACACATTTGATAACACAAGGTAGTTAATTACAATCGCGTTGATTAAACGGCTACACCAGATCGCGACTGCATCTCTGATGCAATTGCAGTTCGTGCGATACATACGAGCGCATTAATTGGCGTACCAATGCGGTGGCCAGAGCACGTGCATATGTCGCGTGTGCATGCGCCAATGAAACGAAACGTGTCGTTTTTCGCAGTCTTTCTCCTCATCTCTCTTTGCGCAACGTTCGTGACTGTAGCTTATTCTTCCGTGATTAACGCGCCTTACTTCAAGGAGTTGCACTCAGCGCTTCGTACATTACGACCGTGCAGATCATTTTAAGATCGAATAAGCAAAACTAGGTGTCGACGTGTTTAATGGATAGAAAAGAGGATTTTCGAATTTTTAATAAAATATCATGAACTAATTTCAGAGTTTGTGTTTCATGACAATGAAGTTTAATGTGACTTTGCTTTTCTTTTTAATGACATAAATGGAGTAACAATTTTTAATTGTATTTCTTTTTAATGACAAGTGCAGTAACAATTTTTATAAATTATCAAATTGTACTTTTTGAACCAAGTGAAAGGTTGATATGATTTTTTGTTTATTAGTTCATATTAATATTTTTATTAACCCTTTGCACTCGAGAGGCGCCCTTCAGTCGTTATTTGATAAAATTTCGAAGCTCGATGTTAATTAATATATCAAATTCAAAATAATGTAACAGCGTGCGAGGTGTCGAAATTAAATAATTCTACGTGTCAATTATTATACGATTTGTTATTTACTGCTCAAAAAATATCATCAGCCTTATAGCAGAAAATTTTTCAACTCTTACCCTTCTTTAGCTAAAAAATCGTCGAGTGCAAAGGGTTAATATGGATGAGGTTGGAATTATACATATGTAGTTGCATATATAAGAGATATTGTGATTTTTGAATATGTGAAATAGATTTTAAATGTGTAATAATTTTATACGTATAATTATGGATTATGTTTTTGAGGAATTGTGATTTTTGAGGTAAATCGAAGTTCAATGTGATTTTTTTAATGATGTTGCTAGTTTATTTATAGTTATAGTTTATTTGTAGTTATAGTGTACACGTTATATGTTCGTGGTGTTCCAACTTTTGTGGCAAATCAACGCTATACACGTGTTGAGGCAGTAGTTTATTATGGTTGTGACACTTGGGAAGTAGATCAGTGTTCATAGCGTGTCTTGGTTTGAATACCTACTTTGCTATTATACCTCTGATATCAAATTCATACATACATATTCATGTCTACTATGAACAAAGTACTCAAAACATATAATATGTAGGGAATTATCTTGAATAAAATTATTTGATAAATTTTAACAAAAATGTACTACTAATTAAATAGTATACTTAATAGTATAATAGTATATAGTATATGATAGTATATAGTAGTATAATAGTATACTCCGAATTAAATAAAATTAAATAGTATTACTAAAGAAAAAGATGCAAATATTTCATAAAATAAAGATTAAATCTTCAATAGACGAGTAATAAAATTATTTTTAAAAATATTATTGCAGGATATCTTAAAATATCATTCCATACGTATATACATATCTATAAAAATTTCTAAATATTCCAAATTCTATTATATCTATTCAAAATAGATCTAAAATATTTTTTCAAATAAACTAATAAGATACATACATATTCCAATATGTAGTGAAATTATTCTAAGATATCCCAAAATAATATTTTGTATATAACAAAAATTAAAAAATATTTCAAATTCATATTCTTTTATAAAATGAATCTCGAATGTTCTTCAAAACAAATTTCAAGGCACAAATAAATGATCAAAGATATTCAAACTATCTTCGATATTTCTTTCGACATATGAAGATGTATATATATATATCTACTGGTACATAGACGAAGGTCGCCTAGCAACGCCCATAAAGGAATCCACCTTTCAACCCCGGAAAGGACACACTCTTCCTTCAAGAGGCCAATACCTCCACTGACTCGACTCTCTTTTTACTCTTCCTCTCTTCATCGAAGCAAATTGTCCACTAAACATTCCCAAAAATATTGATCACTCAAACTATTCAGCCTGCACCAAAAAAAGAAAAAAGAAAGGAACCGGAAGTTACCAGGAGAAATTGTCAGTGTTCTCACAAATAAAATTGTCAACCGGACTGTTCACTGCCAACTAATCATTCCCAAAATTTTCGAGCACTCAAATTATTCAGTCTGTAACAAAAAATCAGGAAGTCACCAAGGGAAGTTGTCAATGTTCTCACAAATAAGATTGTCAACCGAACTGATCACTGTCAACTAAACATTCCCAAAAATATCGAACACTCAAATTATTCAGTCTGTAACAAAAAATCAGGAAGTCACCAAGGGAAGTTGTCAATGTTCTCACAAATAAGATTGTCAACCGAACTGATCA